ACCAGATACCAGATTTTCTTGATCCATTCATCTACTGTGGGGCATCTGGGTTGGTTCCATATCTTAGCAAGGGTGAATAATGCTGTGATAAACATAGTTGTACTGGTAGCTTTAGTATGACCTTGTTTATGATTGCTTGGGTAAATGTCCAAAAGTGGGATTGCTGCGTCCTAGAGGAGCTCTATGTGTGGTCTTTTAAGGAACCTCCATACTGTTTTCCAACGTAGTTGAACAAGTTTACACTTCCACCAACAAGGCAATAGGGTTCCCTTCTGGCCATATCCCCTCCAGCATCTGTTGTTATTAGATTTCTTGATTATAGCTATAGCCATTCTAACTTGGGTGAGGTAGAATCTCAATGTTGTTTGGATTTGCATTTTTTCTATATACATGAAGCTTGAACTTAAATGTTAAGTTAGTTGATAATCATATTAAAGTCTATGCTGATAATATCTTTAGGGAAAAAGATGGTGAATTATCCATTAAATTATTGCTTTTGTCCATTTCTCCTCTGATTATATAACTTTATTTTTTAAAGTTATTACTTATTTCTCTTCCTGTCTCAATTTCTATTGCATTGTTCAGAAATTTTCCAAACAAAGTAATACTACAAAGATGGTAATAAAATTTGCTAGAAGTATAAAAAGTCATTATTAGTCCCATAAAATTTTGTAATATATCCTTGATGAATAGATTATACCAAGGATAATGGTAAATACCATTGTCCTTTACTATTATCCTTGGTAAAAATAATTTTTTCTAAAGTATCCATGAGGTATACCAATAAAGTTACTCTGACTTCCCTTCTATTCATAATATGACACTTTTCTCACTATTTTACTATCCTTCAAACTAGGTTTTATACAGATACAATATAGCAAAACCTTGTTTTTTTCATTTGATATTACAATTTCTTCTGTTCTGACCATAAACAATGTGACTGTGACATACTAGGCTTCAATCCAGCATCTTGCAAACTTTTAGTTATGCATTGCACCTGTTAGCTCTAATTTCTTCCATTCTTTTGGATTGAATGTATTATCAGGATTATATCTTCTTTGTTGGCCACCTGTACTTTTTTATGGGGGAGGGGTGGGTCGGTTGTGGGCTTGAACTCAGAGCCTGGGCATTACCCCTGAGCTCTTTTGCTCAAGGCTAGTGCTCTACTACTTGCAGTTTTTGAGTGGTTAATTAGAATTAAGAATCTCACGAGGATTTTTCTGTCAGATTGTCTTCAAATCTCCATCCTCAAATCTCCTGAGTAGCCAAAAATTACAGGCATGAGTCACCATTACCCGGCTTCACCAGCATCTTCTTTGTTATGGCAAGTTTCTTTGTTATGGCAAGTTTTGAGTTTTCACAATTCACCCTTTGACATAAAAACTTCTAATATGTTTTCCATGTAAATCTTTCAACAGCACATTTCCCTTTCACCTCTCAGCCTTTGTACTGTTAGCATCATATGTTTTCTGTTTTTATAAACCTTAAATTACATTGTAATTTTTTTGCCTTACGAAGTAAGTTGGTTTTGAAAATGATATTAAATAACAAAATCTGCTGCATAGTTCTCCACATATTTACCATTTCTGGTGTTCATTCCTTCTTGGTTCATTTAGTTCTGCCTAAGGGACCTCTGTAGTAATTCTTGCATGTCAAGTCAACTGCTGGTGAATTTTTGGTTTCATTTATAAAATAGTCTATATTTCCATGGTTTTCTGAAAAAATTGTTCTCAGTGAATGAATATGCTATGTTGACTTTTGTAGTAAGATAATTATTGGTTCTCTGGCTTACCTTGTCTCAGGTAAAAATTCTGCTGTCATTAGCTCTATTCCACATTGTTTTTCTCCATCTCTAGCTGCTTTTAATTTGTTTTTGTTATCACGTGTCAATTTGAGCAAATTGATTGGGATGGCCTTAGTATACTTCTCCTTGTGTCTCTTGTGCTGGGGACTTGGAAAGTGTCTTGAAACTTGTATTACATATGGAAATTCTGGAGCTACACTTGTATATACATCTGTCCAGTCGTCATGTCTCTCTCCTGCCTTTGAGCCCTTCAACTTTATAAACATAAATTCCCATGACATTGTTCTACGGTATACTGATAGGGGTTTTTTAGCTCTTTTATTTCTGCTGCTTATTTTAGGTAATTTTTGTTCCTATGTCTTTATGATCCATAATATCATTTTTTGCCTAAAATGCTGTTAATCCTACCTGGTATATTTTCAATGAATATACTGTGGTTTTGTCATAGAAGTATGCTTTGGATCTTTTTTTATCCCAAATATATCTCCTAACATACATTTTTCCTCATTCTTGATCATATGGAATAGAGTTATAATACTGCATAGATGTTGCTGTCCAATTCTATCATCTGAGAGATTTCTAGGTTAATGTATATTTGATTTTTCTCCTCATTACAGGTAGAACTTTTTTCTTATTTACATACCTAGTAAGTTCTCAGTAGATAAGAGATTGTAAGGAATAATATTAAGATATATTATATTCATAAACTGCTTTGTCAAATGGCAAGTCCTTTGTGATGCAAATAGCAGCTATTTAAATATAATAAAAAAATTTAAAAAGATTGTGAAGTATATTAAGGAGGCACCATAAATTCTTGTGTTGGCTTAAATATCTTTGGCCTTGTTCGAGAACTCAGTTAAATGATTTGAACACATTTTGAGACCTTAACTTCTGTTAAATGTTGTTACACAAGCTTAGAGCATCCTTGGTTTACAAATAATTTTCCCTATCAGTGTAGCAAACTTTCTTCAAGTATTCTGTCTATACTTTTTTCTCTTTATGAGGTAATGTAACAAATTCCTGATCCTGTGTGAAAACCAGACACTCTTCTGCTGAGTCTTTTTGAATATTCTTTCCTCAAGTTTCATATAGTAAGACCATAAGGGCTTGGGAGATGGACCTCCAGTAGAGAAAATTTGTAAAGGCCTTATTTTGCCTCACATATCCAAGATCTGAAATTGATGATGCTGGAAACCTGGAAACATCATCAGGTAGGGGGCACACAAGTCTGAAGGGAATGCACATTCTTTAGCCAGAAAGTCAGAAAAATGGTAGCAAAAGACAAAAAGGAAATCAGCTCATCATTCCCCTACTAGAGAAAAATACCAAAGAAATATCTATTATCCCTCCCCCACACACCCCACACACACAGAGAAACACAATCTTAGGGATGCCAGTAAAGTTCAGTAAATCTTCACTGTGTTATACTGAGATATTCCAAGCAGACTCCCTTGCCAGGAAAATATGTCCAAAGCCTTACTTGAGATGTCCTTTTTCCAGTTCCATTGAGACTACCTGAAGATGTGGGTTTCCAGCTCCTCTGGCTGGAATGTACTAAGGGGTCACTCACACTATAGGTACAAGAAGCCTAATAGAGTATCAGGACTCCCCAGCAGTAGCAAGGCCATTTCAGGTGGAGCCAGAGGGGGGTATGGAGGAGGTCTTGCATCCTACCCGCCACAGTAGGTAGAAGGATATTCATGAAGGACTGCAGAACAGGAAGTCCCACTCCCCACTGATAGTTTTCAACAGAGACAATATGGGAAATAACTGCAGACTACTAACAAATGTAGACTGGAGGCACCATCTAGTGATGAATAGCAGCTATGACTACAAACTCAGAAAAGCACCCTGATTTGTTCTGGCTCAGGAGCAAACTAATCCAGATTATAAAGCCTGCAATTAACACATGTTACTAAATGCACATTATCATTTACTAACTTTCAGAGAAATGTGACTTCATAATGGACAATTCAAGGTACCAGAAACTAACATAAAAAAACCATATATGTGAACTTTCAAATAACTTAAAATGAAGCTTTAAGGAAACTCAACAAACCTGAAGAAACAGGAATAAAACAGCCAAGTACTCTATCAGAGAAACTTAACAGAGATATTGAAGTAATTGGAATAAAAATAGATAAACAAGGGAGAGGGAAACAATGTCAGGAAATGTACTCACTACCTTCTGTATGTAAATGTAACCCCTCTGTACATCATTTTAACAATAAAATTAAATTAAAAGACAGAAATCTGCAAGTTTCAAATTAAAATAAGTCAAATCAAAAACACAATAGAATGTTACTGATTATAGGTCAAACAGGAAAAGCAATCAATAAGCACAAAGGTGGTCTAGTTTTAAATACATATAGATCAAAGAAAAGATTGAAGAAAATTTTTAGGCATTTTGAAACAGCATTAAAAGAACAAATATTATGGGATTCATGAAGCTCTTAAAAATGTCAGAGGGGTAGAAAGCTTATTCAGAGAGGTAATAACAGAAAAACACACTATACTTAGAGGACACAAATGTCCAGGTATAAAAAGGGTCAAAGGTTATCAGCCAGATTCAATTCAACAAACTCAACCCCACCACATAGGACACTCATGCTCTCAAAGAAGTGATTCTTACAGGAAGAAGAAACAATGTTTATGGGTGTTCAGCTTGCTGGTCAGCACACTGTTTCTCAAGCAGAAACACCTTAGAGTACCTAAGAGAGTGGCATGACTGTGTTTAAAGGAGCATGGGGGAAACTTGCCCAGAATACTGTGCCCAACAAACTTCCTTCAGAGATGAGAAAAGATATAAAGACATGCCCAGATAAGCAAAAGCAGAGGGAAATTATCACCACCGGGCCTACAAGAAATGCTAAAGGAAATGGGTGAAGTAGCTCATGCTCAGGAGGCTGAGATTGGGTAGACCCTGAGTTCAAAGCCAGCTTGGTCAAAAAATTCCTTTTCAATAATAGCTGAACATGATGGCACATGCCTGTCATCCCAGCTACATGGGAAGCTCAGATTGGGAGGATCACTGTTCCAAGGCCTGAATAAAGTACATCATATCAGAAATAAATAACAGTTCCCCAAATTAAGTTTCATCATCATCATCATCATCATCATCATCATCATCATCATCATCATCATCATCATCACATTTTTTGTTTTCTATGTTAAAATGCTGAAATAATATGCTTACATTAATAGATAGGAAACATCATGAGGCCTTAGGGCAAGGTAAGACTGCTGCCATTCTAAAAATCTTTTTAGGAGTTCATCTGCCTCACCATTTGTAGAAATCTTATTTTTGTCTGACCACAGCTCCAATGATGATAGCACAACAGTAATGTTAAATTGTGTAAACATCTAAAAACAAAAGAAATACATGTAAATATTTTGATATTTTCACACATCCATACTAAATTTGTAAGCTGAATTATTTTTTTTTAAAAAATCTCATTAACTTAATGCAAATGATCATTTTCAAAGTCAGAGAAACCTAACATGTAAAAAAATTACTTACTGAATTTATAAGGCTGACCATTTCAATGACTTTATTTGTTACAATCACTCTATCAGAGCCCAAGTAATCATACTGAAAGACAAAATGTTATAGTTAGATACAATTTGATATGTAATACCCTTAGAGATTTACTCCTGAGTTCGTGGCTCATATGTGGTTTAACAGTTCAAAGTAAAACAATAACAAATTCACTGATCATTCTTTTTGAATTCTTTGAGATATCAACCACCTCACTATCATTAAAGTCCACTATTGTGGGACTGTTGACTTTTGGAGGAGTCACATTGCCATGTTTTTTTCATCTTTCTTCTGGAATTTGTGCATCTGTGGCTAAGTTACTGCGTAGAGACAGCATAAGAAAACCTACCAAATGCTGTGTGATAAAGGGAAGATGAGAGAGAAAAGAAAAAGGGATATGGCATAGAGGTGAATCTGTTCAAAGTACAGAAATCTCACAGTAGCCTCTTCTTACTACAAATGTATGTTAAGTCAAAACTTAAAAAGTAAAAATGAAACAACTTCTTTCCGTAGAAGTATTCTCAATGTTCACGCAGGGCTGGGTAAGGACAGGCTTGTGTGCAGTATCTCATGCCTGACTCGGTGTTGCTCAGCAGCCAAACAATGACCTACATGCTCTGGGCACTGCAGTTCTGAGTGTGTAGAGGGAGAGCAGGACTGGTCAAGGGTGAAGTGCAGGCTTCCAAGTTGCATTTACTTTAGAATAGCCCCTCGTTTTCATATTTAGAGCTGGTCCCAGCTATAAAGATCTTCACAAGTCTGTGAGCCAGACACATTTTCTGTGTCTATAGGACCCTCAATTTGTACCCTTAGGGGTAACGAGTCTAAACCTAGAGGAGTCCTCCAAATGTGTTGGAGTTGTGAGTTACAGCCCTCTGCCCATTCTGTGTGGGAAGGAGGCCAGCAAATCACATGACCCACTGAACTTGGACATGCCTAGCAACATCACAGACAGCTGGAGGAGAATCCTTGGCATTGCAGCTCAGAGCTATTTCCACAATGATCTTCTGGAGATGGGGTGCACTCGTAGCCCTGAGTGTGGAACCGCTGCCCTTGCTTTCCACTGATTATATTTTTTAGCAGCTCCACATCAGAGCATCTCACTCCTCAGGACCACCATTCATTGCCATCTCCCACCAGACACTGTAAGGTTGGTGTCCCTGGGCCCCTCCAGCCATGATGAGTCTTTATCTCCAGATCCCCATAGACTTAATCACAAACAATAGGTTCTCTTGCACAAAAAGGGGCTTGGCTATATATACTTCTTTACATGTGTGTATCTAGTAACATGTATATAGAGGTGTCTAGGTTTCATAGCTGACTCAATGTTTTGTTGAGGAATTGTTGACTATGCAAAAGAAAGCAGAAAAGGAACATTTGGTCACCACTATATTGTTTAGAATACTGGTAGTGTAAACAATACTTTCCTTTAGCGGTTGTGGGGCTTGAACTCAGGGCCTGAAACCTGTCCCTGAGCTCTTCTGCTCAAGGGTAGCACTCTACCACTTTGAGTCACAGCTCCATCTCTGGTTTTTGAATGAAGATTAGAATCTCATGGGGACTTCTCTGCCCTTGCTGGCTTCAAACCACAATCCTCAGCCTCCTGAGTAGCTAAGATTACAGGCATGAGCCACCAGTACCCGGCTAAACACAACATTTTTAAAACAACTTTGAAAACTTTGTAATCTTGAAACAAAATATTTTCATAATTCAAAATATAGGAATTTAGCTATGTACATATTAGAAATATTTCAATTTTTCTCAAATACTGCCATATCTCAATTTTAATGTTCCCTTTGTGTTTTTTCCCAGAACTCTAATAAATTCCGGTCTCTGAATTCAAGTCTGTCCTCTGACAAGCTCTACAGCCTAAGAATGGAATTGGCAATGAACTCTGTTCAAGCTCTGTGTGATTTCCTATCAAGTGTGAAAATCAAATACTTATTATCATACTGAAACTTATTTTCTGAAGTGTTTAAATGTCAGAAGAAATATGCCATCAGTGTTTGATTACAAAGTTATCCCTTTCGAGATCCTGACTCTGATGAGGTCCTCAATTTGTTTATGGAAGTGAAGGATCTAGAGGTATTTTTATATCAGGTAAACAATGAAGTGGAAGAGGAGCACCATCAAGAACTGCTTTAAGGGCTGGGAAGGTGGCTCAGTGGTAGAGTGCTTGTCTTGCATGCATGAAGCCCTGGGTTTGATTCCTCAGCACCACATAAGCAAAAAAAGCTGGAAGTGGTGCTGTGGCTCAAGTGGTAGAGGGCTAGCCTTGAACTAAGGAGCTCAGGGGATCAGGCCCAGAGTTCAGGCCCCATGACATAGGGAAAGGGAGACAAACAAGCGGGTGAGATTAAATGGAATATATTGTAAACATGTCTGGAGATATAATGACATCTTCCTCTTACAACTTATTTAAGAAAAAAAAAAAAAAACCCTGCTTGAAGATCCTGTTATACTCATGTAAGCAAGTCTGCATATAGCTATGCCCTCATCACTTTCTCTCAGTACCTATTTTACAGGGTGAAATGTTCTCTAGACTTTATATTGCCTTTTAAAAAAAGACTTCTCTAAAGTAAGACATGCTTAAAGAATCTCATCTGACCAATTGTCACCATTTTTAAAAAAAGTGAGAAAAGACATAAAAACATATCAGCAAAAGATCATTTTTCACTGTGAGGTTGTTGTTTTCATATTTATTTCACATAAAATATTTGTATATGAATAAAATATTTCATACAAGACATATCTGATAAGATACAAGATAAGTAGCTCTAACTTAGCTTTGATTTTGTTTTTCAGTTTTCACATTTTTACACTGTGCTGTATATAACAGGCCAGTAAGACTAAAAAAATCTTTTAATGCCCTCTAGCTGAGAATAATCATACAATTATAATGCAAAAAAATGCAAAACACATACCAAACTTTTGTCCACCACAATGATCATCTCTAGATACAGAGGTAACAAGTTTGGAGGTGGTGGTACATCTAACTAGGAGGAAAAAAAAAGAAAAGCAACATTTAAAACTTAACATTTTTTTTATGAAAATACCGTACAGAGGAGTTACAATTACATGGGCAAGATAATGAGTACATTTCTTATCAAGCATTGTTGCTTCCTCCTTTTTAACATTTTTCTTAATGTATTGTGTGCCCGCTCTTAAAGCTTTTATTGTAGCATTTATAGAACATGTTAATAATTCTTCCAATTGGAAATTTTCATGTGTAGTGCTTTAAATTTTATGTTGTACTATTTACTTATATAACTGTAACTCCTCTGTATCCTCTGTACATCACCATTATAACAACAAAATATTTTTAAAGTTTTATGTCATTGGAGTCTAGTAATAAGAACACTGATTACGAGGCCATAATATGTCACTTATAGATTTATAGCTTCTAACTTTCAAGCTAAGACCAAAGCACTTAACATTTTTAGGCATGCTTTACCTGAATAACAGAAATGGGTGAAAATTAATAGAAGACTCAAAAAATTTTACATTCTTTGTCCTTCATACACACATGGCTTTCACAACCACAATGTAACTTTGCAGTTTTGTCAAGAAGAAAGTTTATTTCTCCTGACTTTTAATAAGGGATGGTCCTTGGAACTTGATTGAATCAATAAATACAAATGAATTGCTGTTATGCCAAATCACACTCTGAGTCGCCTTTCATGCTTGTATTCATCTGGATAGGTCAGTATATAATAAAGAAAAAGTTTACCCCGTGGCCATGGGTGAGGAAAGAGGTATGCTGTGGAAGAAGGAAAAAAGAGGGGGAGGAGGAGGAAGAGGAAGAAAAGGAAGAGAAGCAGAAGTAGGAGAAAAAGAGGAGGAGAAAAAAGAGGAAGAGGAGGAGGTATAGCTCAATTAATAGAGTGCCAACCTTGGGCAAAAATGCCAAGCTAGAGTGTGAGTTCAAGCCCCCATACTGAGATATGCACAAACATTTTAGTTTAGGAGGTTTTAGTCTTGTTTTTCAACAACAACCAAACAAAAAAAAAAAGGCATACTTTTTTCCTCTGGTGAAAAAAAATAGAAACTGTCCCAAAAGAAGTTCAGATATTGGATTTACAGAACAGGGATAATAAATTCACTCTTTTTAATGCACTCAAAGACTTCAGGAAAATTGTGAACGAAGAACTAAAAAGGAAAGCAGAAGAATGATGTTTTCCCAAACAGGTTTGTTGTTGTTGTTGTTATTGTTGTTGTTTTATTTAGTTTGGGTTTTGGGGGTAATTGTTGGTGGGTTTTTTTTTGTTTTTGTTTGGTTGTTGGTGGTGGTGGTGGTGGTGGTGGTCCCATTTTTGTGCTGGTCTTGGGGCTTGACCTCAGAGCCTGGACGCTTTTCCTGAGTTTTGTGTACTCAAAGTACTTAGTGTTCTACCACTTGAGCTACAGCTCAACCTCCAGCTATTTGGCAGCTGATTGGAGAGAAGATTCTCATGGACTTTCCTGCTTAGACTAGTGTCAAACCATGATTCTTAGATCTCAGCCTCCTAAGCAGCGAGGATTACAAGCGCGAGCCACTGTTGCTCAGCTTACTAAACTGTTTTAATAAACAATCCCAAGGCTATTAAAAAGAAATTATGGAGCTAAAAAAACTAATAACAAATATGATTAGAGATTCACTAGCAGGCCCTATCACAAAGAAGAAAATTTCAAATTCCAAAGCAAGTTAATTAAATTTTTTACAATTTATTTTTAATTGACATGCACTAGCATTTTTTGAGGTCCACTGTGATAATTGGTGTAGAGACATGTGTAGTCATACTGAGGAATGAGCATTTTCAGCGCTGCAACATTCATTGTTTCTCTTTCGGAGTTTTTGAAATCCTGTCTACTTCTTTATAAAAACATACAATAATTTGTTTCGAACCCACTCTACTCTAGAACAGTATAACTTATTTCTCTTAGTATGAGGAGCACACAGAATCCAGAAGACCAGTGGAATGCTATCAAGCATACCAATATATGCATAATGGGATAGCCCATACAAAGAGACAAAGAGAAGGGAAGAAAGAATATTTGAAAAATAGAGAGAAACCTCCCAAATCTGATCAAAGATATGAAGCTGTACATCAACACACTCCAAGTAGAACAAACACAATGAATCTATAACACTCTATAATCAAAATGCGAGCACCAACAAAAAGAACCATGAAAGTAGCAGGACAGAAGCAGCTCACTACAAATCAAGAATTCAGATGAACAACTGCAGTCCATTTGGGCCCTGGGTCATTTCCAGAACACAGTAGAGATGATAAAAGAGCTGGAAAATAATAGTGGACTGGACTGCCTATCTCACACACACAGATCAGTGCAAATATACATACACAGGTTCCTCCTTCAGCATGTGTTTCCCACGCCAGTTTTGTTCTGCTGTCCCCTTGCCCCAAGGGTAGCATCCTCACCCCTGTGCACATACTCCAGCCAGCAAGAAAGGGAAAAGATGAAGAGGAGGAGAACATTTCTCTTCACAATTCAATCCAGAGGTGACCTGATACGGCCCAACCACACATGGTGAGCCACAGGTTTGTTCTACCTAGGTATGAGGAGAGGTTGAGAAATGTAGTCATTTTAAAATTTTCTTCTTAAAGCTAAGTTCTGCAGTTTTGTTGAATGGACAGCAAACAGGGAGAACATGTGCTGGGAGCAACTAACACCCTACTTACCCATAATAAGCTGCCAACATATGCACTTACATGGAGTACTCAACACTCTGTTAGTTACTTCTGACTCCTTGCTTTGGAAGGCATTATTTGTAAATGGTGGCTCCATTAACAACCAGGAAAATAAAGACAAAAGTAAGTAAAGAGTGTTGGAGGATTTTTTTGTTTGGCTTATAGTGAACATACTCTAGGAACTATTTTAGAAAGTGTTAAAAGCATAACAAAACAAAAACTAAGAATTAAGAAGATTATGAAAAATAATTAGCAGATTACTGAAAAAAAGAAAAAGACAACTCATGTTTTCAAGAAATTGTAGATTACTAGAAAGAAAAGATATTTGCTACAACTGTATAATCAGCTAAGACATTTTACTTTGAAAGTAGTAATAAAAAGATTATCACTTACTTTTTTACTTATAAAAATGTTATAGTCCACTTGATTTTCTTCCATGGTTTTGCCTCTTTCATTAAAACTTTCAAGTACATTGTTTTCATTCCCTAATTTATAAAGAATATGCTGGAATTCAACTGCAGATTCCAGAGGCTCAATTCCATAAGAAACATTTTCAAATTGTAACATTCCTCTGTAAAATTGAGGATAAAACTTTTAATCATAAAATCTATAAGACAAAGTCCAGAAGAAAGAAAGAAAGAAAGCTATTTTGAGTCTACTGTCTTGTTCCAAACTCTCTTTAGAGACAAATGACTCAGAAGAGACAAATTATTACACTAATACATAAAATCAACTTTCTAGTTTATTGTTTTTAGTTATAAAACCATTTGATTAGGTACTAGTGGCTATTACCTTTAATCCTAGCTGTAACACTTGAGAAGATGATGTCAAGAGAAATGTGGATTTAAGGACAGCTTGGGCAAAAATAGTTTGCAAAGTCCCATTTCAATCCGGGGGCACAATGGCACACACCCATCACCCCAGTTACACAGGATAAGATGGAAGGACAGCCGCACAAAGCTAGCTGGGGCTAAAATAGTCATGAGATCCCCATCACAACAGCGAACGCTGGGTATAGAGGTCCATCCTTCATCTCAGATACAATGGGATACACAAACCAGGAGGGTTGTAGGCCAAGCTGGACCAGGCAATACGCCAGATTCTATCTTAGAAATGATCAGAGTACACGGATCTAAGATGTGACAGAACTCAAGTGGATAAAAACAAAATAAAATCAGAGCAAAAAAAAAATCAGAGCATGAAGGGGAAGGAGGGAATATCCAAGCAATAGAGTGCCTGCTATCACAACCAAGTTCTAAGTTTAAACCCTTATGTCTCTCTCTCTCTCTCAATCTCTCTCTCTCTTTTTCTCTCTCTCTCTCTCTCTCTCTCTCTCTCACACACACACACACACATACACACAGAGTAGCAAAAAAATCATCTATCAATTGTTAGGAGTAATTGAGTAATCTTCCTGTTTTCCAAGTCAATGAGTAAATAGAGCAATAATAAATTGGAATCTTACTAGGCACCAATGACTTATACCCATAATACTAATTACTCAGGAGGCTGAGATCTGAGGATCATGATTTGAAGCCAGCCTGAAAAGAAAAGCTCATGAGACTCATCACTAATTAACCACAACCAAAAGTTGTGACTCAAGTGGTAGAGTACTAGCATTGAGGCGGGGAGAAAGCTCAGGGACAGTGCCCAGGCCCTGAGTTCAAGCTGCAAAACCAGTACAAAAAAAAAATCTTGATAAATTTCTCTGTGATTAGCAATGATTTTGAAAAATGATTACATGGCTTCTATAACACAAAAAAGTTGTAATAATGAAATGACAATTTGAATAAGAAATCAAAAATGAGATTTGAAATTAATTAATAATTAAACTACTCTGCCCTACACACTAGTAACTGTTGGAGTCACTAATGATTTCAATAATTCCATGTAAGAATGAAAACATCTGCTTGTGAGAAAACAAATCATACACTACAAAACAAAGGTGGTGATTTTCCTGGTAAAATGAGAACTTCTCTAAGTAGAGTGGAGGGAAACGGTATGATGAAAAAATGAGTATTATATTTATAATTGTTCAGGTTCACTGTGAAGATTTTTTTGTGATAAAGAGCAAGATTCCTTTATCTTTTAATCACCAAACATTAAGACATATGCATTAGAAGAATTGCAAATACTTCAGCCATCTTAAAACTGGTTCCCCTAACTCAAGAACATTTAGTTGTCATTTCAATAGTTAAGAAACAATAAGGACAGAATGGAATACGAACCTTCCAGGAAGCTAGAAATGTCTTGTTAGTGAGGAAAGTGAGAAGAAGTAAGAGTAGTCAGAAGGTGTTCAGAGGAGAGCATCACTGAACAAGCTCTACATGAGAATTTTCCTCTACCTACACACACTATAACCACAGTGAACATGCCACAGCCAGCTACGCAGTAAAAACATAAGAACCTCAGTCCAGAGCATGTGCTGAGGGTGGCAACAGAACTTGGATATCCTTCAATATAGCCGTGATAGTAGCATCGAGCCTAGGAAAGGAAAAAAAAAAAGTAACTGGTTACTTAAGACTTGACATAAATTCTAATGATTTCTCACTTGTAAACTTGTAAACCTCTCACCACTGATGACAGGCAACATGATGTATACCAGTATGAGTAAAGTGAAATTCAGGGGCAAAATGTCTCTATATATTTGCCACTTTCACTTATTACTCTCTTTGGATTATGGCTAATTATGGAATTACTATTCTTTTCCCTGCTTCCAACATACCTGTCACTTAGGGGTAAAATTATTTTCCAATATAGAATCTAGGTCATGGGTCAGATTTTCCTTAAAATATAATACTGAAAGGAGACATATAGAAATATAATCACCTACGAAGGCTTAACATAACCCAAAGAATGACAAGCTTTTTTAATAAAATGAGTAGACGGTAAGGTAAAATGCATTCCCAAAACTAACCAAGGATATCTGAGGATGAAGGAATTCCAATTTACCAACAGGATACAAATATTCCACATCTGTATTAACTAAATAATGTAACTTTTAAAAAATGGAAAGCCAAAATTGAAAGAAAGTAAAAACAGAAAATTCATAGCCATATTAAAATATTTTTGAACCTAATTTCTCTCTGTAACTGATAGAGTAAACATCCAAAATGAGCAGGTTTGAACAGCAATGCTAGCAAAGGAATAATTAATATAAACAATACCTAAATTCTGCCTTCTAAACACATAATAGGATGTTTACAAAAATAAAACTATGTTCTTGGAAATAAAGCAGAACTCAACAAACTTTGGAGGGCCAGAACAAACAACCGGAGATAGAGTGGCAATCATTGCCATGGGGTGGGGAGGGGGAACATCATACCATTTCGGGATTCAATGATGCATAGATTTTGGTATAAATAAGTGTGAGGTTTCTTATTAACATACTGCTTTGTGAAACTACTAAGGATGAAAAAATAAAGGGAAATGATGGTCCTATTATAAGCAAAGGAAGATGTTGAATACGACATTGCAACCTTTTTATTTCTGTCAGTCATGGGCCTGGGCACTGTCCAGGAGCTTTTTCCGCTCAAGGATAGTGCCATAGCTCTTCGAGTCACAGCGCCATTTCCAGTACTTTGGTTGTTAATTGGAGATAATAGTCCTACAGACTTTCCTGCTTGGGCTGGCTTCAAACTGAGATCCTCAGCCTCTTGAGTAGCAAGGATTACAACAGTGCCCAGCTCAACACATTTTTATTATATGCTGGCTTTGTACCAAGTACTTTTCTATGCAGTGAATAAAATAGATCAAAGAAACCTACTCTGATGAAGACTACATTAAAGTTGAGAAAGAGAAATACAATCAATGGTTTAAACACATGACATTATCATATGGATAAAGCCAAAGCAGGTAAAGGAAATATAAAGTACCAAGGATAAGGGTGGAATTTAAAATGTGGGTTAGCCAACTGTGTAATTGGATAATTCTGAGCAAAGACCTGAGAGAAATGAGGAAAAAAGGTATACATACATATATATATATATATATATATATATATACACATATATATATATACACACACACACACACACACACACACACACACACACACATATATATACACATATATATGTATATATTTTTTTTTTGGTCAGTCATGGGGCCTGAACTCTGGGCCTGGGCGCTGTCCCTCAGCTCTTCAGCTCAAAGCTAGCACTCTACCACTTGAATCACAGCTTTTTTCTGCTTATATGGTGCTGAGGAATCAAACCCAGGGCCTCATGCATGCATGTGAGGCAAGCACTCTACCACTGAGCCAGCTTCCCAGCCCCGATGTGTATTTTTTTGTTAAGTAAACATGTTCATCCCAAAAGGATTGTCTTTAAAGCTTTTATGTTTGTAGAACGAGACCACTATGGTACTGGAAAAAAGTTTTAAAGGTAGAGGATTAGAGGAAACAAGACCTGGGGGATAAGAGAACTGGACCGTGTGAAGCATGTTCAACATCGAAATGACTAGAGCATTGCTTTGTGAACAAGGAGAGAACCACCTCATGGAGAGTTCTGAGCAGACAGTGACAGAATCAATCCGGATGCCATGAGCAGACAGCCATGGCATGGAAGCAAGGAGACTGTTCAGGAAGACTATGGCAACAATCCAAACTAAAGATGATGTTGGGTCCTCTCTGGATGGAGGAAAATGGAAGAAAGTAAAATCTAGGTATGGAGTGATCGAGCCAGTAGAACTTATTGTTTAATGGCAATGAAAAAGAGTTGTGCATCTGTGACTTGGGTTCAATGATGTTTGTGCCTATGTATCTTTATATTACTTACTCAAAAATATACATGAATAAATATGTAAATTCAGGAAATTGCAAGATGGCACAGTACAAGGTTTCTCTGCCAGCATGAGAATGGTCTGGATAACACAGGACAGACTACATTCTGAAGGACAGCGGGGAGTCCCAGGACAAGAGAAAATTGGGAAATGGTTTGTAGCTTCATCCCTGGCTCTCCTGGGCAAAAGAAGAAGCTCAAGTCTCCACCAGAAGGTGGGCTAGGCAGCTTCTTTGACAGACTGCCTGACCTAGCTGTGGGACAAGTCACATCTACCATGGGCCTTGCATCCCAATGTGAGAATTTGGCAGGACAGTGACCTTCCTAGAAACAAAGAAGGAAACCTTTCAATCCCCATATCTCAAAGAGCCAATGGGAGGCACTAATTTGAGAATAGGCCTCCTGTTTTGAGGTACTGGGGAATCCTGAAAATAAGGAGAGATCACAGTGGAGTGTGTCTTCAGCTAGCGACACAGGAGCTGGGAGGGAGATGGTGAGGTCCTGTGGAAAGGCAGGACTGACTTCAGTGATGCAGGCAGTTTTGGGGACATGGCAAGAGGCCTCCCCACCCTACCCTACATGGTGAGAGGTGTTTGACTTGCCTGAGGATCCATTCAGCAACAAAACAGCCCTTGGATCACCTGGGCTTCAGAAGATGCCACGCTGGCAATGGGAGCCAGCAGCCCGCCCATCACCAAGAAAACAAACAAACAGTAAATGCTGGCAAGGATGTGGGGGAAGACAGTGTTGTGGGGAATATACATTTGTTCAGCCACTATGGAAATCAGAAGGGAGTTTCTTCAAGAAACCAAAAATAAAAATATGATCCTGATATACCACACTTGGGCTTATATCTAAAAGAATGCCAATCAACATACAAGCGGGAAATCTGCATGGTCATGCAACAACACTATTCTCAATAACCAAGAAACAAGCCTGGGTACCTAACAATCAATAATGGACTAAAGAAAATGTGATACACACATCATTCAGCCCTAAAGAAAAGATAAAATTTATGTTGTTTGCATGAAGTGGATAGAACTGAAGATCATCATATTAAGTGAAATAAATCAAGTTTAGAAAAACATTGTCACGTGCTCTCACTTGTATGTGGACCTAAAAATAATATGCATGATCGGACATGATTGTAAAGATGAGACTAGTTGGGAGTAGGGAGAGAAAAGAGAGGGGTGAAAGTATTGTAAAAGCATATTGTGGGGTGTGTGTGTGTGTGTGTGTGTGTGCGTGTGGGGGTTGGGGGGGAGAAACAGAGAGAAAGATCCACCAAAAACTGTTAAAGAGGCATGGAGAAAAGGTAATGGAAAGAATAATATAAATAAGATGAATTGTATCCAGTACATTATATACGTATTGTAAATATTGCAAGAAGCTCTTTTGTGCAATTAGTTTATGCTAACGAAGAATAAATAATGTTCTTGTCCTAGGCAGTGTGAGAGGTTCTTCATCAATCTAGTCAACCAAAACTTCAGAAAAGCCTAAAAATTAATCAGTAAGTGCCTTAAATATCTTCCCTGTAGATTCTGAGAGCATTATGTGTTAGGAAAGCACTTATTTGATGTGGGGGGAGAAAGTTTTCTAAAAATTAAACAAAAGAATGAGACTTTAAAGCTTACCGGAATATCTGAAGAATGAGCAGTCACAGAGCCTTGTTTATACAAATAAACCACAAAATGATCGGCTAAGAAATATCTGAGTACGAGAGATAATCAAAAGGTTATTCTTTTTGAAACCTGCAAACTGTCACCCTCTAGCAAATCTGATTCACTATCTGCTTTTATAAATTGTTTTTCTAAATATGACCACATTCATTCATGCACACATTTGCCTGCTGGTTCTACCACCTTCACGCTGAATAGCTCAATCTTCAGGAAGTCTCTATTTTTTAAGTTACTAACCCCCACATTCATGAAAACTACTTGAGGGCTTAGGACCAAAAACATAATTTATAAAAGAATATCTCTTCATCTAAGACAATTAAAATAATTTCATAACTATATTATCTTCATATTCCATCTTTATTATAAGTAAACCATTTCTAAAATTATATTAAATCCCAAACCAAGAATAAAAACTTACTTTTGCTTCAGGTGTACCGTATGTGGTTTCTGATTTATTGGAATAATATAGGATACCTCCTCCTAGAGAGTCCAGGACAACAGAAAGTGAAGATGAGATTAATACAAGAAGTGAAGCAGCAACTCTACATCAAAGCAAGAAAACAAGGCTTGCAATGTCTTCATAAAAATAGCACAAACTACATATGATTTACAATCTGCAATAAGATATTTGTATTTTTAACATTTATGTGTTATGTAAATACATCCTTCCTATATACACAAAATCAGCCAATCTGAGAACTTACACTGAATGAGGAGTCTATATACAACTAATTTCTAACCTCTTCTGAAAACAAACTGTATGCTCTGCTGTAATCTCTAGTTAGGTGGCATCATTAGAATAATAAGATAAAATGTACCAGTGAAGCTTACTCCACCTAGCACAAAAATTATTTAACCATTTTCTTTAAATTCATGCTAAATGACATTTTCTACTTCCTATATTTTTAATATTTTTATTGTTATTAGAAATGTGATATGCAGCGGAGTTACAGTTGCATAAGTCAGGTATAGGGCACATTTTGGGGACAATGTCACCCTTCCCTCACTCTCTCCCAGTTTTTCCTTCCCATCCTAACCCACAGGTGGTACAGTTCATTTTCAACATAATGTCCAGTGAGTACCAATGCTACATTTGTTCACCATTTATCCCTCCATTTCTATGCTTCCCCTTACTACTTTCTATATTTTTAAACGAACAGTTCTCCATCAAAATGCTCTATTTTCAAATTATAACACTGATCTCAAGAGGTTGGAATATCTACAAATCAGAACACCAGAGTAACAATATTTTTATCTGGAAAAAAAAGACATTGTAAAACCAAAAGTTAGACTTTCTGAGCAAAGAAAAAATAAAGCATATAAAAATGAAAAGGAGACAAAAAGAGCAGCACCCCCAGAATCTGTGAAGAGAAGCAACCATGACACTGTACAGACCAGAGGACGGAGCAGGAGACTCCAGGTCTGCACAGGGTCAAAATGAGACCAGAAGCTCAGTGGAGATAAGCTGATACTGCATACCTAAATGTAATGTGGGAAGAGCAGCACTTCACCTCTATGGTAATATTCCTAACACTCTTTACCTCAGTCTAACATAAGAAAACCTCAAAGACGAGTTCAGTGGCATTCTACAAATTACCTGTCCAAAAATACTCTTCAAAACTGTTGAAGTTATGAAAAACAAGGAAAGACTGAGATGTAGAACAAAGGAGGCCAAAAAGATATGGGATGTACTACTCTGAAACATCAATGAGAAAAGGGTGGAATCCAAATAAAGCAGTTCAAATAATTGCGATATGCTCATGTTACTTTCTTAGTTCAATGCAGCATCATAATTACATACATCTTACCATGAGGGAGAAGTAGTGAGCTGCATATGGGAATATACTGTAGTATCTTTGAAATCTTCTGTAAATCTGAATTTATTCCAAAATTTTTGATTATTTTTAAAAGCAAAAAACAAATTAAGGAAAAGGGTAAAACAAGTGTATGGCAGATATATGGCAGAATTACCCAAAAGAACTTTCTGTGAATTTAGATTCAAAATGATAAGAAAATGCTTTCCGCGAGAGGTCAATCTAAATGTGATAAGTGAGCAAAGATGCTGATGCATCTTTATCTTGTTCAAAAGGAGACTTGATGTGCAAATGGTTATACTAACTAGTTCTTAAGGTCAATGTGTTTTGAGATAAGTGAGATAAGTCTAGCTCAAAGCCAAGCAAATATGTTTTTACTCAGATGTGGAAGGTGGGCCTAAAAGACATTTATATTTGTGCTTAAATGCATGCATACATATAACTACATACATATAGAACATAACTCTAACTATTAGGACTAGGTAAGAGGAAAGGGAAAAGGGAAGAGGGGGGAAAAGATGGAAACGGATAACCTCAAAATACAAGGCAGGAATTGTGAGTAAAGCCAACTTTTCTATCAGAGTAGGTTGCCTCCTTTCTGTCAATGAAAGCTGTTGATCAATAGGTGATTGAGAAAGCAAGTGAAGAGAAAGCAATAGCGTTATTCTAAGCAAAACACTACATATCAGAAATATCATAGTGAAACCCCTGGGTGCAATGAGTACATGCTGGTGGAAAAAATGATAGGAAAGTTAAAAACGGTCTCTGATAGGGTACAGATATCCCATAACCCTTGGGATACAGCCAAAGAAGTACAAGGAAAGAATTTTATAACAATCAGTATCTACCTTGGAAAAACAAAAGACCTCATAAAAAGTATCCACCATTGTACCTCAAAGAACTAGAAGATTTTTACAAAATCCAAACTGATACAAAAAGAAATTATAACAGAGTAGAAATGAAATAAACCCTCAAAAGCAATATAAAATGTCAGTTAAATGAGTTTAGACTTTTGAGAAGTTGCATTAACAGGAAGAGTAGACCTAAGTAAATAAAAATAGAGATATAAAGGAGACATTGCCACTAACACCACAGAAATGTAAAGAATCATTACAGACTATATCTGTATGCCAGTATACTGGAAAACTTAAGCTAGATGGACAAATGCCAGGTTATGTACAAAGACTGACTTATTAAGAAATATAAAACTTGAATAAAACAATTATGATTAATGAGATCAAATCAGTAGTAAAAAGCCTCACATCAATGAAAAGCCAAGGGCCAGATGGGAAAACTAAAAATTCATTTGGAGGCAAAAAATACTCCAAATAGAAAAAACAATCCTGAGTAAACAGCAATGCTGGAGCTATCACAGTGCCTATTTCAAATTATACTACAAAGCTATGGAAACAAAAATAATGGTCCTGGCTCAGGACATGTAACCCAAGAGAACAGTGTAAGTTACCAGTGGGTGAACTGCATATGCACAGCTAGATGATGCTCAATAAAGTGCCAAAACACGGGTTGGAGAAAAGACACCACCTGTTATAGGGAAAACTGGGTATCTATATGCTAAAAACTGAAACTATCTCTCCTTCTGTACAAAGCTCAGTTTAGAATAGTTTCAAATCTCAGAACCTGGAAAAGCTGTTGCTGCTATTGATACATAACATACTGCTATTATTGGTCTTTTTATATAAATATAAATATATATATATATATACATATATATAATTTGAATTTTTGGAAACTTTAGCTGTGCTGTCAACTTTGGAAAAAGTATCCCAGTTTACCGTGTTGAGTTGGCATTATACAGAAATTAATAGCCATATTGGTCTAGAAATGTTAAACTTATTTTTTTCCCATTTGTACAGGGGTAAACGCACTGTATTAAATATGTAAGGTCTTATCTACGTGGGTTTGATTACAGAAACTAATAAAATATTCTCTAAATAATGAAAAAAAAGAATAGTTTCAAATCTATGTAAGACCTCAAACTACTTCAGGAAAATGCTCTAATTTACAGGTATCAGCACTGAGCTACTGAGTAGGACTCTAGCTGCTCAGGAGAAAACAGCAAAAACTGATCAATGTGATTAAAAAAGCTTCTGTACAGTCTTTAGGAGGGAAAGGAGGACACAGAACTCCAAGGAAAAAGAGTGAAAAAGAGCAGCAGTAGAATTCACTGGACACTGATGAAAGTGAACTGCACAAAGCATGGGTGAAGATGGGAGGGAGGGACTGGGAGAGATTGAGGGAACAGAAGACACAGTACATCCAAGGAAAAAGAGTGAAAAAGAGCAGCAGTAGAATTCACTGGACACTGATGAAAGTGAACTGCACAAAGCATGGGTGAAGATGGGAGGGAGGGACTGGGAGAGATTGAGGGAACAGAAGACACAGTACAAAAGGAAATGTACTCATTACCTGACTCAAATAACTGTAATCCCTGTGTAAATTACCTCTATAGTAAATAAAAAAGTAAATTAATAATAAAGAGAGTTAATAGAACTTGAGCACTTATCACAGAAAAAAAGCTTCTGTGCAGCAAAAGAAACAATTACCTACAGAATAGGAGAAAAATAGTTGCCTTTACAAGGTTAATATCCACAAGATCGAAAGCATTAAAATTAAAAAAACAAACACCAAAAGAACTAGTAGTCTGAACTTTACCTGGTCAAATGAACGGAATAGACATTTTTTTTTTTCAGAATAGACATTTTAGCCATCGAGAAAATGCAAATAACTTTTTAAGAAAGAAAGAAAATGCAAATTCAAAATACAGAGATCCCATCTGACCCCAATCAGAGTAGTTATCATATCATCAAGAAAACAGGGAAACAAATATGGCCCCTTGCTGACACTACCTTCCCCATGTCTCCAGGACCCAGAAACAAAATCTCACATACACTGGCTATAATGGGAGATGAGCAAATTAGTAAGCTAACAAATTAGTAAGCTAGCAAGAAGAAAGTAGCTAGAAAAAAAAAAAAGAACATTCTAAATCTCAAAAGTAACAAAGCAAAAACCCTTACTCTGAGAGAGCCAGGACAATTTCAGAGGTCTTCTCCATCTCAACACCATCCGGCCTAGAACCTAATCTCTTTTTTATTCATTTCTACCCTGCTTTATTGTTTCTGGAAACACCTATCAAATTAAAAACTCTACACATGAAATAAAAAATACAATTCAAACACACTGGAAAGTAGAGCAAATAGAAGACAAACGATCACCACTCAAAGACCAGAGAGTCTCAATAAGACTTTCAACATCTTTAGCCATCAAGGAAATGAAAGTTAAAACTATACTGAGATTGCATCCCACCCCAGTCAGAATAACTATCAGCAAGAAAAACAGATATTTCTGTTTCCAAAAAAATAGAGCAACGAAAGGTTTTCTTGTCTAAGAGTTGGTAGGTGCAAGAAGGAGCAATAAAAAAGGATGTTTGGGTTAAAGAATATTCTTAGTCATTTCGGTAAACACTATTCCTTACATCTGAATGTCCTATATAGCCCCTTGATAGGACTGAGATAAGAAACTTAAGTCTTCACCAGTTTTTTTGTATTTGAACTTCTAAAAATAATTTATTATGAAAAAATTGACAAAGGATAAAGCAGATCATTCTAATTAAGACATTTGCTTTTACCAACAAAATCTCAAATTCCCTATCAACAGCAATATTACATATTTATATTTATACTATAATGGGGTCAATATATTTTACAGCTGGGTAATAAAAATAAGAAAATTGCTATAATAATTTAAATTGTGAAAAATGTTTCTTACATTTCCTTCTTTTGATTGTGCACTTCCTTGGACTTTCTCTGGTAAGATGATTTCTATCGAATTTTGAGAACCTGAAGAAATTTAAATAAAAGTTGTTAACCCTGAATTTACTTTAAATAAATTCTATTCAGCTTCATTCATAAGGTTTACTCATGCAAGTACAAATGGCTCATTGTTAGAACTCTTCTTAAAACCTAACTAGAATCCATCAGAGAAGATTTGCATGGTCCCTGTGTAAAGATGACATGTAAATTCATCAGGTGTTCCCTATTCAAAAGAAAATAACAAAACATTCAATTTTGAAAACAGTCATAAAAGGCCAAAGATAGTGAGAGAAGAGGTATTCCACTTTCATTAACTTTTCTTTTCTTGAACAAAATAGAACAGAAAAAATTAATAAACAGATCAACAATATGCTCTAAGAAAACCTTTCTGAAGGGTGGTGGCGTAGTTTAAATGGTAGAACACCAGCTATGCAAGCACAAAGGCCCTAAATTCAGTCCTTATACCACAAGAAAAGAAAGAAAAAGAAAGAAAGGGAGAGAGAAATAGAGAGAGGGATGGAGGGAGGGAGGGAAGGAGAAAAGGAAGGGAAGGAAGGGAAGGAAAGAAACTTCCTGAAATAAAAGGTTTGAAACAATGAACTAGAAAGTACAGTGCATTTCAGGAATGACCTACAGTAATGAGTCAAAACCAAGACATATTATACTGAAATTATTAAATTGCTAAAAGATTCCTATAAAAACATGACAAAAAATAAAATCATTTTGAGCATAAAGGGATAAAAACAGTCTGCCTTGAATATTTAATGTTGCAATACTGAATAACAATTTCTAAAATCAAATATATATAATGTGTATATGCTTTTGTGTATATATGTGTATATAACTTTCCTTAAATATATATACATACACATATATATTTCCTTAAATACAAATATATTCAATATATAAATTTAATACATAATATATTCATATAAATTAATCTATAAATTAATATATATTATAAAGATCTTATATCTTAATATATATACACAAAAAGAAATTGAAGACCCTAGAAATTTATACCCTGCAAAACTATTGAATCAAAAGACAGATATTTTCAAGTAAATACTCGAAGAAAATGATTTATGTCTGTCTTCCACAAAAACAGAACAATTTCTCCCAATAAATATATTAATAAAATATGATAAAAGGCCTAGTAGTGAGCATTAAATGAATAATAAGAACAATAAATAAGACAAATAATAAGAATAAAAACTGCAGCAACTGTTGGAGTTGTAGTTATATCCTACACGCAAGCATTAAAAATCTGATACTGGAGATATGCAAGCAAATATACCAACATTGACAAATGTAGTTAGAGAGAGAAAAAAGCATAAGCATACCAATTTCCTTAAAGTTACTGTAAGCAATGGTCAAAATGTGAGCTAAGCTCAAAATAAGTAGTAATAGAATTGTTTCCTGGTATAAAGGTACAAAAAAATCATATTAAGTAAAGTAAGGCAGACCCAAATAAACATAGGTTCCATGGTTTCCCTCAATTGTAATAATTAGTATATGTCTAGGATAGTCCTAGCAGATGATGATAGCTCAATAGCTGTGTATATATGACCCACATAGAATGATGCTATTCAAAATGATCTCCAGGATATGGAAACAAGAGAGTTTTTTTGGTGGTTGTGTTTGTTTAGTGTACTGTTTGCAGTTATTTCTTTCATCTTTTGTTTTTTTCTCCTCTGGTTAACTCCCCATGGTCACTGTTTCTGATTTCAGTACCCTTTATCTTGTATATAAGTTTACCTGATTTGGGGAACAGAAGGGGAAGCACAGAAATGGCAGGATAAAGGGTGAACCAATGCAACAGTGATGCTCACAGGACACTATGTTGTAAAGTTGAACTTTACAACTTCAGGAGAGATGGGAGTGGGGGGGGGAAAGCAGTAGAAAATGAGGAAGGGGGTAACACTGTTCAAAAAGAAATATACTCATTGCCTTAATCATGTAACTGTAACCCCTTTATATATCATCTTTACAATACAGTAAAGTTAAAACCAACAATAAAAGAAAACCCAAAATTAAAACAATCATAATCATTCAGCAAAAATGGAGAGTAGGTTGACATTAGATTTTCCCATTACTCATTGTAATCACTAGGGACAACATACATAAAAGCTTGTATATATTATGTAAAATAGATGCTACATTTTCAAATTAAGAAAACAACATACCCAAGTCAACGGGATAACAAAACAAAGATTTATGGCCCATATTGGACCATGAATGCATAACATAAACGCATAACATAAACAGAAATGACTAAAATAGTGCAAATATCAGGTGTTCCCTATTCAAAAGAAAACAACAAAACATTTCATTTTGAAAACATATAGTCACAAAAAGCCAAAGGTAGTGATAGAAGAGGTATTCCACTTTCACTAAATTTTCTTTTTTACATACCAATGAAGACAGAAATTTAGACTGAATTTAGAAAATCAGAACCCAATTTACTCAGACCTTCTCTATGATATTCAGCACTAGCTTTAGCCTGATACTTGAGGACCTAAAATGCCACTGTGTTTTCATTTGACGAAGAATGAATGCTCACCAATAGTCAGTAGGACTTTACATTCAAATACATGAATGCACCCATGGATGTACAAACAGATTCTACACACAGGTGTAAAACAGATGAGTAAAAAAGTAGCTTGTGGGAGTCACACATGGTCTCCCTGGCTGTTATAACAGGGAAAGTCAAATGGGAGTCCCTGAGTATCATCTCTACCGTCTCCAAAACATTCAATTAAGCCACAGTCTTTCAGTATTCACACACGAGTCTCAGCATGGCCAAACTAAAATACACAAATGTGACGAGTCCATTATAAGCCCATTTGATTTGACCTGTAGAAATGGAAGACAAGTTATTGGGAATGACAAGGGATCTTCTTAAATGTATTCAAGTAATGACTGAAATAACAGACATTGTTCCAAATATAGTCTCTTTGCTGAAGGAATCAGTACTTGCTTTGGCACCTATAGGCTCCCAGTGATAGAAAAAGATAGTTTTTTTTTCTTTTCAAATAAGCCAAGAAACAGGTCTCCTTGGCGCAGGCCGAAATTTTCTTAATAGAGACCCAGAAACACAACAAATCAAAGAAAGCTTGGACAAATGGGATTGCATGAAATTGCAGAGCTTCTTCATGGCAAAGGACATAGCTAGCAAGATTAATAGAAAGCCCACGAATTGGGAGAAGATCTTCACTAGCCATACAACGGACAAGGGTTTCATATCTAAAATATACTTGGAACTCAAAAAATTAAATCCCCCAACAACAAATCCTCTAAGAAACAACTGCCCAATAAATAAGTGGGCTAAAGACTTAAAGAGAAATTTCTCTCAGGAGGAAAGAAGGATGGCCAATAGACACATGAAGAAATGCTCAACCTCCCTAGCCATAAAAGAAATGCAAATCAAAATAACATTGAGATCCCACCTCACCCCAGTTAGAATGGCTATAATCAAGAACTCTAATAGCAACAGATGCTGGAGGGGATGTGGACAGAAGGGAATCTTACTGCATTGTTGGTGGGAGTGTAAACTTGTTCAACCACTTTGGAAAACAGTATGGAGGTTCCTCCGAAGACTCCACATAAAGCTCCCCTGTGACCCAGCAATCCCACTTTTGGGCATTTACCCAAATGTTCACAAACAAGACCACACTAAATTTACCAGCACGACTATGTTTATTGCAGCCTTATTTACCATAGCTAAGATATAGAACCAACCCAGATGCCCCTCAGTAGATGAATGGATCAAGAAAATGTGATATATATATATATATATATATATATATATATATATATATATATATATATATATATACACACACACACACACACACAATGGAATTCTATGCCTCCATCAGAAAGAATGACATTGCCCCATTTGTTAGGCAATGGAAAGACTTGGAAAAAATTATATTAAGTGAAGTAAGCCAGGCCCAAAGAAACATAGGTCCCATGGTTTCCCTTATTTTCAATAACTAGTATATGTCTAAGTCAAGCAGAAAAGGTCAGATAAGTTGATGTTAGGGAAATGAACCCTAAGATATGTATGCAAATGTTTTTTTCTTTCATGCGATTGTTTCTAACTCATTTATAAGACTCTTTGTTGCTTTGTATGCCCCTCCCCCACAGTATAACCCCTGTTTTCACTGTATTTGATGTTGGTATAATTTGTGGAGGGGAAGGGAAAAAAGAAATTGTTTAAATAGGGATACAGGTGGACCCATTGCAACAATGAGACATACAAGTCGTTATGTCGAAAATGAACTTTACAACTTTGGGTTGGGGGATGGAGGGAGGATGGGATAGGAAGGGGAAACAAAGGAGGAGGCTACAATGCTTGATAAGAAATACACTCATTATCTTGCCCATGTAATTGTAACCCCTCTGTACAGTATTTTCACAATAAAAAAAATAAGCCAAGAATACCAGAAACAAGTTTGTAGTGTGCATGTGCACACATGCACCTGAACACTCTTCTTTTAGCTAAACCTACCATTCAAACCGTAACTCCACTTCTGGCTTTTTGCTGGTTAATTAGAGACAAAAGTCTCATTGTGTCTTTCCTGACTAGCTGGCTTTGAAGCATGAGCCTCAGATATCCATATCCTGGGTAGCTGTGATTACAGGTGTGACCCCTTAGCCTCTGGAAAGTTTATAGTTTTGATTGGCAGTGATGGCAGTATACCTTCTCCATCTTGCCCCAGTTGCTTATCAAATCTTTGGTTTTGTTTCTCCCTGGACCCCTGATGATCTCAACATTGCATGACCCCTAAGAGATATTCAAGTCCTAATCCCCCAGAAGCTAGCAACCCCAGTTGCTAATCAGCTGTCCTTAAAATAGCAATCTACTTTGGACTTCACTTAATCACAAGGTTTCTCATAGATAGAGGAAAGCAAATGAGGGATCCAAAGATAGAGCCAGGTTAAAAGGACTCAGCCCAATGTTCATGACTTGCATGTCAGGCCTACAAGAGAGCAAGATTTGCCCTTGAGTTTATTAAAACAATATTCTCCTTGATGAGTTGCTTCTCTCAGTGGCCCGTTTCCAGGGTAAGGGGGCAAGAGGGACTAAGGAGAGTGGGTCGCTGGGCTTTTGATGGAGTCGGGCCACAGACAGAGGACGTGGGTACAAGTAAAAGGCATCCTCCGCCCTCCACGGGAATGACAGCGCCCCCACTGCCTTACCGGGCCTTGATACTAGCACGCCACCCAGCCAGGCCAGCTGCAGCACCAGGAGGAGCATGGTGTGTGGCTCCTCCGCACCGAGCATGGCGCTAGTAGGGGTTATCGTTGAGCTGACCTGGTTGCTAGGGGCTGCCGTTGCCATAGGGATAATGTTGCGTGGGGATACGGCTGTGCGAGATGCGGTGGCACGGCCTGAGTTCGCGTTAGCCTTCAAGAGCGCCCTCTAGGGGCACGGAGGAGTCGGTGGTGTCTGCAACGAAGTGCTGGCAGCCTGCAGTGCTCTCCCTACCCCTAAACCTCTCCCAAATGATTGGCCTGCTGCCCCTCTGGAGCTGTCCCGAATCCCAGTCCCCATGGAGAGGCAGTCCTCTTTCGCCTCCTTTTGCTAACATGCTTATCCTGTGTTTTTCAGTATCAGACACTTTCTAGGTGCTTTTAAAGAGCAAGTGTGGTATCCTCAGCGGGCTGGGGGTGTGGCTCTTGAGAAAGCAGTGATGGTCTCTGGTGGCCAAAGGTCTTGGATTCTGTTCCCAGGATCACAAATAAAAAGAAAAATCTAACACATATTTCTTTTTGCTAAAGCCAAGCTTTGGTGGTGGTGATGGTGGTGGTGGTGATGATGATGATGATGAAAAAAACTGATGATGAAGAAAAAAAAACTAGCCCATTAGGAAGAGGTGATTTTCCTATTTTTGCAGTCTACTATGATTTTTTTTGCACCCTTACAATATGATATGGACTGTCATTTTTCTCTTGAATTTGGTTCTCCACCAGCCTTTGGCTAAAATTAATGCAATATTCTCTTCAGATTGAAGATATCCTTCTCTTCAGAATATCCTAAAGGGACCTCAGTGCAAAATATCCACTCATTCATGCAGTGAAAGATTCCTACATTACAGCATCTTTGTTCCAGGGGGAAATCTACCAAGTATCTGCCTTGGTACTGTATGTAAAGTTTTCTAAACTTAGATGTCTATCTGCCACCTATTCACATCTTCAGTATTTCTGCCCTCTGACTTCTGATCTTTCCTGAGAATTGATTTATGTTCTTGGGCTTCAAAGCCTCCTTCCTACTAGCATCATCCCAGTTTCCATCTATGTGTACCAACTATAATTTTTCAATTCCTTTCAAATGCCAAAGAATGAATTTCTCAAACTCTGAGGCAGTCACGCACCTAAAACGCTCTGAGGGATCATGGAAATGCTTAGTAGGGGAGTTCACATTTCAGTGACAGCTGGGATGTGACTTTATGGATGTGTGAAATTTCAACAGGGAACCTCAGCCTGAAAAATGATAGCCTGAGCAAAATCAATGCAATGAAAAATTACACCTACCTTATAGCTCATAGGGTCAGCTAGTGCCAGCCCCAACAACAGCTCAACCAAGCTGGCTTCACTTTGCTTCATAGCACCTAGAAGAAATGCTTAGACTTGCCAATTGTAAGTATTCTCAATGAATCTCTTGTTTTTATTTCTTTGTTCTTTCAACCTTTCCTGTTTGTCTTTAATACAACAGCCTATAATACAAGCTGTAATACACGCTTGTAATCCCAGCACTCAAGAGGCTGAGGCAGAAGGATTATGAACAAGCCCATGGTTCATTATACTTTGAAATGGCAGAAAAAGTACCCCATAAGGAACTTATCCATATCCCAGTACCTGAGTCTTGCCAGATAGCAGGGTTTCAATAAACACAAAACTGGATAAAAATCTGGTTTCTTCTTAAAAAAAAATATATTGTATTTAACCTCATATTTAGAGAACCAGACTACCAAGAAAGACAAAATATGACCCTCTAAACAAGGCTGATATGTCAAGCAAGCCAAACTCATATATATCTTTGATTATTTGAAAATTGCAGGTTCTTGTTATGTATGCCAGTAAGTATGAAAATCTTAAAGGACTTTGACATCTGATAGATAAAAACCCAGAACAGTTCAAGAACGAACCTAAGTGAAAATATGTAGAAAATACTTGAAAGCAAAATCACCTCAGATCAAATAGCCTTTCAGAAAACCTTTCTAACTAGTCAAAGATCCCAGGACTCATCTAATTCAAAGAACAGTGTGTTAAGTTCCACAGTTGCTACCTCACTAACTGCAGATCCATTCTGATACTTAAAGTGAAAAATCATCTTTTGGAATGGCTTATTTTACTATCACCTGATTGTTAAAATAATGTGCTCTCTCAGAGAACTAAAATTTCCATTTTCTTCAAAGCTAATCTGTTTTCCTTTCATCATAAAACTACTGTGTACAATTTGGCAAAAGTTTGATTAGGATTTTTTTTTCCAAAATGGTATCTTTAAGGTTATGAGATTACAAATAGCTACACAAAAATTTCAAGCATTTTGTTTACTGTAAATGTTTTATTTGTATTTATATACATACACAACCAAAATATTATTTAAAAAACTAATGAATTCAGTTAATACATTTTTATTAAACTTTATTATGAAAGTTTATGAAAATCTTTTAAGTGTTTAAAATTTCATTGCTCATGACATTTCTTCCATAGTAAAAATTCATTTTTAACACAGCTGAGATAACTCATAGATACCACACTAAAATTGGACTTAAGAAACCCTTCCCTTTCACCAGCCTAATTTCTATGAAAATATTATAGTCAAAGAGACATGATCCAGCACACCTTAGCAAATGTAAACATTCTAAATGATTTAATATCAAGCTTCAAAGATTCAGATTTTAGACTTAAAGTGCTCATGAAATTCTCAAGTGGTTTTATATAGCTCAACTGATTGAAGATATTATAGTTGTTCCTGCTTTATTATAGCTATGACTCAACAGCCATCTTGATTAGATCTATTAAATAGTTCGTACCTGAAAAAGTTTATACTTTAAAATAATGCTATTGTAAAATAATACCATGCCTTAACATGATGCATAAGAGAAATTCTAGTATTAAATTAAATTTTCTAGCAGTCATTTATAGTTGAAAAAATCACTAAAATGGAAGCTAACAACCATGTGTGAATTCACACTCTCAGCGTATTTTTCACTTTCAAAATAATATAGATGACATCCTAAATAGGGTTCTTGTGTGTTCTTCTGAAGACAGAATATTCGCTTACTTGTGTAGCAAACAAGAGACAAGATTTTAGTATACAATGGTTAATAATTTGTGCATGACAAAAAATATTAGCTATTATTGGTAGCTAATTAGTTTTCATAGGTGTCAGATTATCACATGTTCACCCACAAACTACATGAATAATTATGGTCAAAAATGTAGGATTACATTTAAGCACATGATGACAAATCTTACGCTAACAGAATACTTAGTTTGATCATTACAACACCACCTTCAAAATGCTTAATCCTTGGTAAAAAATATTAACTTCGTGGAAGATGGACTAAGACATTCAGTGATGGAAATGGAGATAGTGCTCCATAAATTCCTGTGGCTCCACTGCATTTCCTTCTGTTTCTCAACTCCATGGTTGGTTTCTGCTTTTCTTAGCTAAGTTGTTTTGTAGTGTTTTGTTTTCATTCATAGTTGCAGGAGGAAGAAAAGCTTTTCAAGAAAATGTCAGGAAAAAAAAAGTTCAGTTCCCTGAAGACATCTGCAAAGACAAGGGCCCCCATCAAGTGAGGGAGCTGTACAAAGGAGGGGCAGGGGCTGGACGGGCAGGAACTAAGTTTCCCTGAGATGGTATTTTTGGATGTGGCGGAGGTGGCCTATGAGAAGAAAAAGAAAAAAAAAACAGTTAATAGTGTATGGACTGAATAAAACTGTATTCATAACAAGCATAGTATCACTCTCAACCTCTCTGATAACAGATATAACAAGCACCATAGAATTTTATTCCGTAATTGATACTGTAGGAAAGTTATTATACCCAATTGTAAAATCAAATTGTAAAAGATAAAGGATACTAAGTGGATGACGTAGTTTTGCTGTGCTGATAGAATTCAGCTGGCAAATTTCTGTTTACCGTAAAACTAGCCATATGCACAATGCCTACGTGCCCCTGATCATATGAAATAACATTTATCGAAATGAACTCTAGAAAATGGAAACAAGAGGTTCTTTTCTTTGTTGTTGTTTTACTTTTCTTTCCATCTTGTTCGTTTATATGTCTCTGGGAGGGAAAGAAGGGACACAGAAATGGAGGGACAAAGATTGAACTCAGTTGAAAATGAACTATACAACTTGTGGGTGGGGATAGGAGGAAAAAACTGGCTGATAGCAAGGGAAGGGGTGACATTGTCCAAAAAGAAATGTCCTTATTACCTGACTTATGAAATGGTAACCCCTCTGTACAACACCTTAATAATAACAATAAAATTATATTAAAAGTAAACAACTAGCTGACCTTTCAGCTTCCTTCAACAGCATTCTCTCAGATAATTAAACATGCAGTTCTGTCTCAGCCTGTCTTTCTCAATCCTCACACTTTAACTGCTAGACACCCTTCCTTACCTGTGAATCCATTCCTGGTATTTCTCTACTCAATATCACACTAGAATGGTTCCCAATGAGCACCTGTCTCTCAATTTTATCTATTCTTCATCTTAAATTTAATTTCAGTGTTCTCTTGAGTAACAGGAGGACCCACTTCAATGCTGAAATGCAACTGGCATTTGAAAGACTCTGCAAAGTGGGAGGGGTCAGATGTATTTTATATGGTGTAAAATATGATAATAAATTATCCCTTCTTCCATCTAAAATCTGTCTCCTGAATGTTCAGTTCTTTGGTTTTGAAGTTGTAGAATCTGCATTTAGTCTTTTTCTTAAGTTTCTAGTTTTGTGCTGAAATTGTCTATCTTGACTTACATAACTCACATAACATTATCATCATACTTATGTATGTATGTATTTATTTATTTTTGGTGTCAGTACTGGATTTTGAATTCAGTGCCTGTGAGCTATCTTTCAGCTTTTTCACTTAAGGCTGGTGCACCACAATGTGAGCCACAGCTCCACTTCTGGCTTTTTGGTGATTAACTGGAGATAAGAGTCTCATAGACTTCTCTGCCCAGGCTGGATTCAAACCACAATCCTCAGATCTCAGTTCCCTGAGTTGCTTGTTTTAAA